ACCTGCTACCTACGTTCGGGGCCGATCAGCCTTCTCCTGCGTGAAAAGTGGCTGACGGATCTGAGCTCAATAAATAAAAGGCTCCATTCAAATTTCTATCTGGCTAATCTGGTTCCTATGCAGAGTTGACCCATAACACCCTGTACCAAATACATTAAAAAAAAAATTAATACAACTATCTTTATCGGATGATGGTTTTACTATATATATATTATAAAACATACGTATAAATATCTATATATTGGGGGATTTCTTATATTATTAATCAGGCATGTTACACTATAGCTGTCTTAGTTTTTAACAGAAAATGTACAATTTTTAAAATTTAAAAAGCATAAGGGTATTTTTAAAAAATCAATAGAATACAGGGAGACAAACTATATAAAGATGGTGTCTCAATTACTCTTCTCTTGTTGCTGGGACAAATACCCAAAATTAAGGAAGGAAAGCTTTATTTAGCTCTCAGTTAGTGGAAGTTTCAGTCTATACTGAAACTGGCTCCAAGGCAGAGTGGCACATGACACAGAGCAGCCCCACGGCTTTGGCAATGACCAAGGGAGCAAACGGAGTGGCAGCAGCTCAGGCAGCTAGCTAGGCTCTCTCCCCTCCTTACACCACAATGCAAATTAACCACCCCAGGGCCAGGGTGTAACACTCACACCTGCAATCCCAGCATTGGATCAAAAATCAATCATAAACTCCAGAAGCTGCCCCATGACTGCATGAGGCTTTGGGGAACAACTAGACACAAACCATAACAGATGGGAAGGGGATTTTGGGATGAGGGAGACTGAAGTGAGAAGAGGATGAGGGGAAGTAAAAAGGATCTAGATGCATTATGTATATGTACCAAGTCCCCACAATAAATGTGTTTAGTATGTATTTGAAATACGTACTAATTTTAAAAGGGGGAGGGAATCTATAGCTGTACAGTGTGTTTTAAGCTATTACAAGAGCAAAAGTTTTAAATAATTAAGTTTATAAAGTAAATAAGTTACAGTGAGCCAAGCATAATTTTTTTTTATTTTTAATTTTATTTATTTATGTGTGTGTGTGTGTGTGTGTG